ACAATCACTCATATGATAAGCTCTGCTCGACAAAGTCGACAGCGGAGCTAAAAATCATTTAAAATAAATATCTTTGAATGACAGCATCATATTATTACATAATGTTGTGTTTCAAAACATGAAAGTGAAATTTTGGTCAAAAAAACAAAGATGCACAAGAAAAAGTGACCAAATATGGTCAAGCCAATATATGGCCTGCAACATTATGCATGTTAAGTAACATGATGCATAAACTGGCAATGTTACATAAAAGTACCAGGATGTGTGACCTTTCAAAGTCATGCAAAACAATTTTTTTATAATACTTGTACTTACCTAAATTAAGAGAATAATCATAGTATCCTTTAAGTTTTGCTACCAATGGAACAACTGCATTCCAAGCTATCTGTTGTAACTGATCATGACTTGGATTTGATATAGCCTATGTAAAACAGTATAATATTAGTGAGAGGTGAACCAATTCAAAGCAGTAACCACTTTCATACTTGGGAGAAAAAAATCACAACTACTAACACTAGAGGGCGCTAGTCAACAAAGAAGCAAAATGCTTTATAGTAATGACTGGTTACAGTTTTCAATGGATGTCACAGAAAACACTTTGTTTACAATACAAATAATAAATAAAAAAAAATAAAAACAGTTTTCGTGTATCAGATTATTGAAGGGGTAAATGCATTGCAAGCTATTTTCCAAATCTTATCTTTTTTTTCACAGTTCTACAGAAATAGTGTTCACCAGGGCCAGGCAAGCATCTGCAGACCTAAACCAAGGTTCCTCAAAAGTTAAACATATATCAGTCGGTGGTGTTGACTTCCACACTGTCTGTGATATACATGTACCTACCCTGAGTAGTCAACATGTTTTTTGGCATTCAACCCCCAGTACATGTCAAACATGTGACCTTCTCATCAAGGGTTTGGTAGCAAAATCATTCATACCTGTCTTATTTCTTCACCAGCGCCTCTGTATTTCTGTAAATCTTCCAATACCCTATCGGAGTGTACTAGTACACTGTTGACAATCTGCCATACTTCAAATTCGGGATGAGTTGGCTGTGCATCTACAACACGGCAACACACAAACAAGTAAGAATAATGTAACCTATTTATTTTATGCCAGGCAACAACTGCTGATCTTAAATAGTCATGACTGTCTCTATCAAGATTCTGACTTTTGTGTGCACGATGGTAAAAGCACAAACTTTACAACACAATATTTGAGACTCATTTACATGAAAAGGGATGTGTGACACCACACTGACATATATACACTATCATAGCTTCAAAGAGAGCCAATTAAAACACCAGAGAATATTAAAGCGAGATGGTCGTCACCTGCGCATGTGTGGGAATTGACTCTTAAGTGACCATAACACACACTAAAACGCAAAGGCTCATGGGTAGACGCTTTTTTGTAAATAATGACACGCTATGGCCATGTGATGTCTGCGCAGGTGATGACTCCCCTGCTTTAACTAAGATTCCCCCAAAGTTGCATCCACTTGTACATAGATCATACTCTTTTTTGCTCTTCAGCCTAAAATGATTTTGAACGCCTAATATAAAGCCTCATGCAATATATTGACCCCCTAAATTATATTAAACTCAAAGATTTGTTGACAGTGATTTGAAATGGTAAGATTTCATCTAAATTTGACCTGCAACCAAGTGAAATACTGTAGAATACTTTATTTTCGCTTGGAATTTTCGCCGTGAAAATAAAATCCAGCGAATATACTTTTGTTCCTATATTTCACATTAAACTCATCAAAAATCAGTGAAAATTAATTCCAGCGAAAATAAAGTATTCCACAGTATCTTTGTTTATCACAAAATGGTTTGTTTGGGTGGCCCACACGCAAACTGTGCTGCTTACTTTTCACAAGTGTGCAATTTGCATGATTTTACAAGCTCGATGCAAACATACCCCCCAACGAGCCTGCATGTGATTCTACCCGATACATGCATACAATATTTAGATCTGATTTGATGTACTGCTAAAACAATTGCCCAATCAGAGCTGAAATAGCCTATGAAATTGGAAATAAAACAAAATGGCTGCAATGTCAAATTACCATAGAAAGCGCACTTTAAAACATCTTTATATAACAGGTTTTACCAAGTTATGGAGGCTAGGTAATGGCCAGATAAATGAACCTTGATTGGTGAGGATGACTTTCTAAAAATCATGTCATGTTGATTGTATACAGGTAAGAGCATGAATAAATTTCATAACAAGGTAGTTGGTGGATTAAAAACACGTGAATGGATGCAGACAGCCAGCACAACGTACAGTTGGCGATATGCATATTTACTAAGAACAAAAACCAATTCTGCCTATATGACAAACTGTTAAAACTAATAATAATCACAGACAAATGATTAACCCAACCCTGAGAGAAAACAAAATGTACCCAATATTCATGAACAATTTGACCTTTGACCCATCTGACATTGCTGAACAGCGATTATAGACTTCATTAACAAGAATATAACCAGCTCATTATTAACTGAGTGAGTGAAATGGACAACCAGTCCCGATGGAAATGTACACACAACTGAATAATCTCAGCCTGCTCAGTTTCAGTTTACCCTTATTATTAAGCAGCATTTCATTACTCCATTCAAACACCTTTAACTTTATAATAATACTTTTTTCCAAATAAATGTATTTGCATCTGAACTTGACTTAGGAGGATGGTGTAATTAAAGTTTGGTTTGATGCTGAATACTTATACATACACAACAACAAAGTATAAAAGCCATAGCACTACAAACAATACTGGGTAGTTCATCAGGGTCTTTATGAAGCCAAGCCATGCACACAATTGTGAACACATAAAAAAAAAAACTTACTGTGTTGGACAACCCGTACTTTGTTTTTTTGGTGTAATAGTGGAGACATATTTATCATTTTTTTGAAAACTTCTTGTATTCCTGTTGCTAATTTTGGAAACTGGTGGTTTCTGTGCCTTGTGTTATTGCCAATTTCAGGCCCTGATACTGTTTGATACAAATATCTTCTTCCAATGTATGACTGATGAACAATTTAGCAGTTTTTGACTATTTTAGTTTTTGCTTGCAAGTTTTTTGGATAAACAATGTTTAAATCAATCTAAATATACACAAATTTTTGACAGTCAGTTTTTTTTTTTTTTAGGAAATAAACAAATAAAATGAATGTTTTTAATGAATGATTTTACTAGTAACCTCAAAATGACCTTTTAAAGACACATTTCTCATTTGTGCCTTAGAGGGCATAATTTTCTTGATTTAAAATGCAAATGAAAGGTTTGAAAACACTACGATTTTAACACAATTATGTTCTGTCTCGATGCGGAAGAAAAAAATGCAGTATTATTTCAGTATTTCAGTATTTTCATCATAACATTTACAGCATTATAAAAACTTTATCTGTGAATAGTTTCCTGGCATACACTTTTATGGTGATATATTTCCTCGTAAAATTTGTCACTGTGGTTTGACCTCACTTGACACAAGCCACTAAGTAGCGTTTGTTTTCCATGTAGCTTTCTAATCAATCACACATACGTCAGCAGACTGTCACTAATCATAGTTAATACACCTTATAACAATGTTTTCAAAAAAAACTTCTTCTAATGACAATGTTATCAATGTATGGAACAGGAGGTGGGATGGAAGATATTTTTCATAAATTAATTAAAATGACAGTCCTTATTTAGTGTGTATGAATTCCCTGCTTTCAATATATCCTCATACGGGATCTATATCGAACATAATACAGTGTAACAAGTGAGCTGCTTTTAATATTATCTTGTAATATTTTCGTGTCGTTCTCAGGGGTCAAAACAATTAAAATATAATACAAACAAAAACAAAACATTAGCATGAAGGGCCCTGGCATTACTTCATTTGAGAAATACCAAGCATCAGCGTAAACTATATTCTGCATTTGAAGAGTCAAAATCACAACCATTTTAAAACTTTATTTTAGGTTATTATAATCAATGTATTCAAATCTATTGCCAAAAACATTCTACCGGTATATATCGCCCATTTTCATGAAAGTCAATCTTTGGTTGATGGCAATATAATTACTATAAACATTGACATTCCTTTTAACTTTTCAAACTTCAATAACCTTTGTATTTTGTTTTCCCAGTATTTTCAGGATAAAACAACATTTATTTCTAATTAAACCAGTAGCCTTTTGATCAAACAAATTAAGAAAGAAAAATTCTTGGTTCAGATTGGTACATATTTTCTCAATTTTTCGACCTAATTTCTATGAAACATGATCTGTAAATATTACTTACTCTCAAAATCTAAAAAGATGTCAATTTTGGAAGCACTTTCATCCTTGGCTAAAATCTTCAACAGGTTGCCCATGGCAACAGATTGTCTGCAAGAGAGAACACAGATGAACACAATAATTAATTACAGATACATAAAGACGAATAAACGGATGGACAGATAAGGTTTGATATGGACACAGCAACTGAAATGAGCAGCCACAGATGTAGGCAGACAGATATACGGATGTGGAAATATTAACATACTTTGATGAAAATACAGCAATTGAATGTGCACAAGCCACAGAAGAGCAAAGAAGTTCAAAACAGGTTTATTTTACAAGTGTAAAAATCATGTCACGTCATGAGATTAAGTCAGTGATTTCCCAGTGTTATTAATAGGAATACCAACAGGAAAACGCCTTCTACATATAGCAGGTGTATCCAAGACAACACACGACTTTTTAGAGAAGTAAGTCCACTCATGTGTGATGGAGAAGATCACATGACCTTCTTGGTGAGTCATGACAATATAGGTCTTTACAGTGCAATTACACATACAACTTGTATCGAGGCACTTGGTTACACCCAGGAATTTCCTGACTTATTATTAAAAGGGATGTTATGTGCTTGTATTTTAATTGTTTTATTGACTATATGATATGATAAGATAAGATTTCCTATGAAGCCCACAAAAGTCCACCTTTTAAGTTCTATGACACATGGCAACTGTAGGGCGGTCTGGTACAATGTACACAATGGTTTTTTTTTCTACCAGTCAGGGATTCTGTTTCGTTTTATCATCTTCTTTTGAGTTGCTTAGGTCACGCTGTGCATCAATCAGCGAGTGGGTTTTAAAACCAGGAAATGAATAGATCATAGCACATAGACTACATTTATTTAACAAAGCAGAAATTCATATTACTAATTTGGCAACCAGTAGTGAGAGTGATAAATTTATTCCTATTATGAGCAACAAAAATAAGTTACTTTCATAGCTCAGTTCACCAAACAGTAAGTGTGTTTATTTTATTTTATTTTGTTTTGTTATGTAAGGCCTTATTATATTAAGAGTTAATGAATCTTATTATACATCTGTCACCGTAACGCCACATGTTACTGCGTGCCGTAATTTTGCAGTATTTTAGGGGGTATTGTCATTCTGCCATATTAGGAAATGCGAATTCCAAATATGGAATGACTACATGAGTAAGCATCCTCTAATAATAAAAACAAACATGGCTACCACCAGGGTTGACCGGACTCCACACAAAGAAGTTTGCTGATTCTGTTCTAAACTTTTTGGATCTCGGCAATCCCATGATGTATCCTTGGAAGGAAAAGATGTATATTAATAAGGTTATTACGAGGATACCTCAAAGTATGCACTCAGATAGTACGCTGTCACATTGACCTCCGCTGTGTGTTGGTCAATACTCCCGCTGTACTGTCTTCGTGCATACTTTGAGGTATCCTTGTAATAACCTCATATTATTACTACATGTACCATCCTGCGTGTGTGGCAGTATGCCAGTCTGCACTCTTAGTCATGAGTTGTGGTAATTTTACCATGATTTTGACAGTCAGGTCTCGTTATAGAGGAAGGTCTGTGATGGGTTTCAGACATTGTCAGTTAATTCTCGACTGACTAAAATAAAATTTAAACCTCAAGAAGCCACATTAAAACATTTTGACAGGCCTGCATGTAAAAGAACGCTGTGCATTTAATTGTTTACATGTAGTTTCTAAGGGAAGTTTAGTGGTAGACGACAAAAGGTCATCCTTTATAATACACATGTCAAAGATTGTAACCTTTCATCATCAAGTAGACCTGCTTGACATTATGTTAACATCAAAGAATTATTTAGAAACAAATTCTTGATACGAAATGATACGATGAAGAGAGAGAGAGAACATTCTATTTATACTCGTAACAACAGTACAGTGAATTTCACAAAAGCATGATTATTTTTTTTACAAAATTTATAAAATATTTAAATATTTACGGAAGACACTCATGTTCCTTTCAAATCCAAAAGAGACACTTCTATTGGTAATGTCCATTACCCATGAGTCTTTGTGGGTTTCCTTCAATTAGCAAATGATTTACTACCAAGCATCCATTAAGCTGTTGTGATTGGTCAAGTTGTTTTCAACCGTCATTTGGAAACTATAAACATTTATAAATATTTTATATAAAAATTCATGCCTTCATGAAATTCACTGTATATGGAAACAGGTTATGGAAACAAGTTACATTTAACTAAAAAATATTTATTCATTAGATTATATTCATAGAGGGTAGTATTAAAGTTAAGATGTTGGCTTATGTTTGATAGGGCCGCCTTCGAAGGTAAGTTTGTGTTATCCTAGGGATAAGTTTCTACTGTGCACACTGAACCGACAATTTTACATCTCCCTCAGCTAAACAAAATTCTTCCAACTAACTATGTCATAAGCCTGACAAATATAGGTTATGTACTCTTGTTTTTACTGCTGAATGTGTAGCCGACCACGGGATTCAAACCTGCAATCTCCCGGCAGAAAATTTAGCCAAAGTACATCAATGCATAGAGAATGCAACACACTACGATTGGCATAGGCTACATGTATACAAACTTATTGAATTACTAATCCTCGGGGGCGGAGCTACGTCACAAGACGTTCCACGTTGCTAAGACGCGCACCACTGTACATGCATTTCTATGGGCTCTTTTCGCGCTGCTGTGGAACGCCGGTCGAGCCGGTGAAAATTCGAGAAAACAACACAAATTCAACTTCGAAGTGATCCTGAACAACCAAATTTATATATGTTACATACGTAGGGCTAATCTTGTTATACTGTTCAGAGGAGTCTCAACAACCATCCCAAAGTACCGTTTTCTGGGAGTTTTGGGCCTTTGTTTTCACTGCCAGGGTTGCCAAGCGGTGAAAATGCCCGGATGTCCGCGCCCGAGGATAAAGCACAAGTTTGGATTCTCCATATTATTTAGTATAATTTATTTATTACTATTAATTTATGTGAAGTTCAACATTAGATGCGTTATATTAAAATAATAATATAGATGTTAGCTAACCGATATCTGCCGCTACACTGCATTATTCCCATTCAGCCAGGGTCAATAAGCTTTTATTTGAGTCATCAAATAAGATTGTTCAATTTGGTATACGAGTCACGATTTAAATAATGGGATTTCATGAGAAAAAAAAATGCTTAGATAAATGACATCATGTTTAAAACTGTACTACCAAATCGTACTCTGCATTTCCACTGTACTTGTGTTGATAGCAGCAATGTGACAATTGCATTTGTGAAAGAATCATAACCAGCTAAAATCTGTTTATAAGCCAATTACCTCTCCTCTTACCTACTACAGTGTATTAAAGTGAGCCCTCTTTAGCAATTCAACATTCTGTTTTACGGCCACAAGGCAAACCAAATTTACTTTGGGTACTTCTAAACAGATCTCTGTACTTTACCACTGCTGAATACAGTCTCGGATGATGTCATACAACCACCATACTAGTATTTACATATCTCTCTGTCAAACTCGGGCGATAATTACTTATGAGGAAAACAACGATTACCTTTTAAGAAGCGTACATTTAATGAATACAACAAATAGATCTTATATTAGACATGAATTGAAAGTCATGGTGGCAAAAAGAGATGTGAAAAATGTATGCGATGATAAAAAAAAAGTGCTTTTGTTGTCACAAACAAATTGATCTACAATAAATAGGGTTAACACACTCGCTGATTTTAATACCGAAATCATCTACGAATACACGCAGATGACGGCATTACAGCTGTCGATGTGTGACTAAATACAATATCACTAACATCCATACATAGTGATAGGGTCTCAGTGTTTTGTTACGGCTTTCATTAAACACGAAATGACAAGTCACGACACAGAATTTACTATTTGGAGCACCAATCAATATGTGTCACCTTCCACAAACCAAAACAGCACAATTGAAAAAATTCAAGTATTTGTTATCATCGAGATCTGTGAGAAATAGAAAACTACCGGTATGTTCAATTGGTCCAAAATTACAAACAATTATAATATAATAATATATAATATAAGATATAATGTCACGTTTTTTATGACTGTCAACAATAGTGCCAAATAATTATTTGCATGCTGTGTGTCAATTCTGCTTGTTCATTTGCTCCAATTAGGTTTGTTTTTGATTTAAATTTCAGCCAATTTTTTGGAGCGACTGACACATATTCACACATGAGCTTGCCAGAATAGTAAATTTGTTACCATAATTCATAGTTATCGACTATTTACAGTAGAATTTATATTCACTATTTTCATGTTTTTAGCATATTCACTGTGTTTTATTTTCATGAATTTGTCAAAGAAATACCGGGTAATTACAATGTTATTTTAATGTTATTTTACATGTTCACATAATTTTTTTTAATTTAGTGGATTTTACGAAAACGAAAACAGCAAAATTATATCCCAGTGAATAATTAATGTATTTACAGTATAAAATTGGTAGTTGTGAACAACTTTAGAAATAGCCTGACAAGGTCGTGTGAGTTGCGCCCTCAACGGTGCTTCAAACCCAACACATGCCTGACAGAACAATGTAGTTTTTCACTTCCCCTAACGATTTTTTGTCGGTACCAATCAATTTGCAGGAACCTCAGATAGTGACAGCCATCAAAGAGTTTATTTGTTTGTTGACATAATGTGTGATAAGGTGCTGGCAAATTTCCGCCTAATCTTTATCATCTTGTTGAAAACAGTCTGTGATTTTTGCCATCAATGCAAAAACGGCTTTGATTGACTTTATTACCATGACTACCAAAATGAATATTTATTGAACTCATTGCAAGAAGGCGTGAACTCGCAGACGAGACATACATTATTCTGTCAGGTGTTAGTGAGATTTATGCCGTTCGGCCGGCGAGGGCCTACCGGTACTCTCGCCAACATGTCAGGCTAAATTAGGAAGTGTGTGTATAATGAAAGAAAATTTGGCAGTACGTGACGAAATATCATGCATTACGCCATACTGTGAAGAAACGTAAAGTGTTTTTAACAAAAAAATTTGCCACCAATTTTACATTCAATGTTTGTTTTGT